TTAGTGTGACGTCATGCTCTCCGATACGTTCGCGCTGACCAGTTATAGCTGGCTCCGGGACCACGTTGAATTCTTTTTTTGTCTCGACCAGTGGTCAGTGCGGACAGTGGTGTTTGTGTAGAGTTAGTTTTGTGTAGTGCTATTTCGGCTGGGACCGCCTGTAAGTTGGAAAATGTTTTTATTTTTTTTGCTTTCTTTAGTTAGATTTATATTGATTGTTTCTGCATCTGTTGCTATAGTCTAGATGCAGACTGATTAGTGTAGTGGCATCACTGGCTAGTTAATTAGCCATGATTGCCTCTGATGGAGCCGGAAGCTCTGTAGACTTGGGTAGTGTCACCCACTTGCCCCAGCTTTAATGCTTTTGTTTTTCTATACTATGTCTATGTGTAAATATTTTATAGATATAGATGTTTCTTAAATATTTTTATCGTTAGGATATCCCCTCTATTGAAGTTGTCATCTTGTCCTATTTTTTTATGTAAAAGATGGCTGCGGCCTAAGCATTGCTGTCATGGCGGTTTGTTTAGTCTGATCTACTATTATTTAGATATAGCTTGTGCATTGTAGTCTAGCCTGACCTGTGTTGGTTGTGGCTGAGACTTTAGTAATTCATGTATTGCTTTTATTAGCTACATGTAGGTAATTGAAATTACCTCATGCTTGTATTGTGAGTATGCACTAGACTAGACCTAGACCAGTCCAGTCTAATATAGCGTTATAGTACATTATTATTTTATTTTGTAAATATTGTTTTATGTTTGTTTATTTTGTAATTGCAGGCTATAATTCCTGCATTGCTGTCTGCCTAACTGTCTGCCACAGTTATTACTGTATTACTCCCTTACTGTATTACTGCATAGCTGTCTGCTGTAGTTCTCAGTTACAATAGTTTATTGTTTTGTAGGTTATTTTAGTGGTTTATTGCCTTGTAAGGTGTCATGGTGGATTTTGGTGAATCGGGTTAACTAGTGGTTTTATTTGGGTTTGGTTTGTTGGATAGTGATTGTAGTTGTAATAGTATAAATTAAGTAGAGTTGATTAGTCGTTTAGTTTTTTTGTTTATCTAGTTGTTTACGTATATTTTCTTTTGCACATATATTTTTATTGATTTGTTTTTTCCTCGTGTAAATAAAGTGTATATAAGTTCATTTTAATCTTAGTTTGTTTTTTAGTTAGCTAGTTTAGTTTAGTTTGCTTGTGCTGTCTGGTTGCTTAGGCTACCATAGCCCCTTGGTCACCATACCGAGGTGCACAGATTGGGCCCACCCAGTAGAGCTACCATCTGCCTACTGTAAAATGAACAAATGTTGAGCAGCAAGTAACAAAAAAGGAGGCCTCACTCAGGTAGCGCCACCTTGACCTGCTCACACCAACGACATCAAAACAAACTGAATCTATCAAAGACATTGACATCGATCACTTAAAGTCGAAAAGTAGGAAAAACATATTGAAAGAAAGTGAAAGATATTCTGAGATATTTCATGATGTTTCTGACATATCAACATTTATAGACAATGAGATGAACTTAAAAAGTGACAAACTTGCCAACTCAAATGTTTATTCTCGACCTTTGAACAATAGAGGTTTATTGCAGACCAACTTAAAGGATTTATTAGGTCAATGCATACATGAACATTCGTACTCAACGTTTTCTACTTCAATTGTTTTACAACGAAAAATATCATTACAACAAAGATTAAGTCTCGATTTTGGACAGTTCTTGTTTGAACATATGAAACGCAAAGAATATTATAAGGACAATAGTTGTATGTTGCTTAAAGCTAGAATGAAACGCATTCATGAACTGATAGACATTTTGTACACATTGAAACAACGTACATTTGTAGCTAAAGCAAGCAAGTTTGTATTGAAACCAAAAGTGATATTTTTCAACAGCAGAGTTGAAAAAAACTCTCTGAAAACACAGGACAATATTGTTAAACGTATTTTGAACTATAAAGAACCAAGAAAGAATAAATGTACGGATAGACTAGAACTGTTTCAAGTGCCCGAACAGAAGAAATGCAAAGACAGACTAGAATTGTTTTAAGTACCTGGAAAGAAGAAAGTTGCAAATCTAACAGGATTGTACAGCTGTGTCAAGATTTATTTTAATAATTATGACATGCAATTGTTTATTACTTAGTATATTTACATTAGTACTGTTGTTATAAGAGTTTTAGAAATTAGTAATTTGGCATAGTACTATTTTTAGATTACAAATGTTGGAAAATATGGTAGTGTTCAAATGTTATGTAGTAGAAAGCAATGTGTTGAGATGACATACATTTTTCAGTATTATTTAACCTTAATCATTTTGATATTTTTTTTGAGTTACAAAAGTTGGAAAGTTCATACTCAAATATCATGACAAGTAATGTATGAAACTAAGACGTATTTTTTGTAGTATTAATTATATATGCTTAAGTGTACAATATTTTGAATTATGAACATGTAATGGAACAATTATTTGAATTATGAGTTCTGTACTTTCATTGGATCAATTTCATTAAGTTTTTGTGTGCATATATTTGAATAGTAATACTATTATTTTACGCATTTTTTATTGCATACAAAATGCTAAAAAGGCAAGGGGGTAATGTCACGAGTCGAGTCTGTGACCTATTTCGACCAGTTTCTAGAAGCGAGTTCAAACCAGTGCAAGTTTCCAGCGTAAACAAGTTAATTTTAGGTATCCAATCAAAGAGAGAGGTTAAGTGGAAAAAATAGCACACGTCAGCTTCTAGAAGGTCAAAGTTACTAAAATAATTATCTGAGAAGGTTCCATGATTCTGGAATGTACTATCAAAGAAAGTATAAATTTGGGGAAAGTCAGTTAGACGGGGTCCTCGCATAGTAGTAGTTCTTATAGAGCGATGGTCCTCGCTCAGTCCTCGATTAGTAATGGTTATAAGTTTTGTGATATAATCGGGTCCATTAGTTAAAGTTTTATAAGTTAAAGTTGAAGTTATACTAAGTGAAGTTTTATGTATTTTAAGTTTTATTTATGAAGTATCAAGTCAAGTTGTTATTGAATTGAGAAGTTAATTTGATGTGAAACTGAAGAAGTAATATTAAAGAATTTTTAAGAAAATACAGAGAGATGTTTCTTTCTTCATTTCATTGAATTGTCAAGTTTGATAATATAATCCCCGGCAAGTGTGTTCGTCACAATAGCGTTAAAGGCTGATGCAGAGACTGAGCTTGTTGTGGCGTAGAGTTCGGATAATGTTCGACCCATCTTTGCATTAGTTCGCTCTTTCTTGTCTGTGATAGTTTCCCCAGTGGTTGAATTGAGAGGTGCTGACTTGTTTTGGGCAGGTCCGAGAGCCTTTTTGATTCCTTCACACATTCTTCTTATGTTGCCTGCTTGAGCAGCCAGCTGAATATTCTCACTGAGCTCTATCCAGTATTCATTGGCACAGATCAGTGCTGTCCTCTGCACACATGGCTCTAGCTTCTTTCAGACTAATAAGACTAGACTTATTAGATCTATTTCTAGATCTAGACCTTGACTTAGATCTTGAATCTAGATCAATGTCTAGTTTGTACGACAAATGATAATGGAGATATTAATTTTTATTTTGCGAGGGGAATGTCTGGTCCAAGGAAGCCTCCAAGAAAAACACGAAATTCGGACGATATTCCAGTACGTACCAGGACATGTAGTTGTGGAAGGCAATACGAAGGTTGACTTATTAGCCAAGCTCGGCACAAAACTGGACCCTGTGGACGAGCCACAGACATTTGAGCAGGCGCGTGCTATTGTGGACGAGAGAAAAGTGGCGTAAATACTGGGAAAACGGTACCACTGGCAGGGAGGTATGGCAAAACCTAAAAGGGCCCTCAAAATCGCTGGTGAGTGGTGGCAGCTGAACAGGGAAAAACAGGTGACAATCACTAGGTACAGAACGGGACATTGTCCAATCGGTGCCTATTTTAATTTAAACCAAACTTCGATTCACGCTGCAGACACTGCCAGGACGACGTCGACACAGTAAACCACATCCTTTACGAGTGCGCAACACTACAACCCAAGAATGGCCATTTGAGTGAAAAGGAGACTGGTACGCATGGTGAGTTGGCCCTGTACGGAGACAGGGAAACTCTGAGAAGTACTGTCGCTTTCCTTGTCCGTGTTATTTGAGAATAGAGTTCTCAACACGGTGCCCTAGTGCGATGAGACTTACACGGTCCAAGTAGACCTACTCCAAGTCTTTCAAGTCATTTCTAGCTAGCTCACTATCTAAAATAGGTCAAGAATTTTTTTTTTCGTGTTGCCAATTTATCTGATTTTGTAAGAAGACTACATATTTTTTTAGTTTCACTTTATTACATGTAACGTTATTAATTTTGAATGTATGGATAAGGTTAATAATTTTTTTTTAAATATAAGTGTACGCTAAAATATGGGGATGAGGGGCAAAGCACTTGGAACCAGAAGTCCCGTGTTCGAATCCTGGTGAAGACTCTATGTAGACCACTTCGAGGGCCGATTTTCAGTTTGCGTTTCCACACAAACTACTTTGTAATGCAGTGCGCGGGGCCTTGGGCGAGTGTCATATGCCGCGCCCTGAGCCTATATATACCCTACCACATCACCCTAGCAGGCTCGTCTGCCTCTTACGTTGTAGGCATTATTTTTTTTTATACTAACCATTATAGGGCCTACCTTACTTAAGTACTGTACTATTGGACTTTTACTTATTACATACTGTATTGTAAGTGTACTGCGTGAAAGATATCACCTTTTAACGTTAAAAGAAAAGTAGGCTAACTAATAATTCCGAAATATTTTGCATGAAAAATCAACAAATTAGATAATAATAATTTCTGAGCACGCTGGAGTTGGAAAGTATCTATTAATTACGGAGGAGAACCAGACAAGACAAATTTCCTTACGGACAATAAACATTATTATTTGCAAATGGTATGAATTATGATATTTTTATATAGTCCATTGATCTAATTCGCGCACATTTCGCAGCTATCGCGAGATGGTTAGTCATGTGACTTCATGATTCTAAACAAACTAGAATTATAAGAATAGATCTAGAGATCTAGCTAGACTTTATTTTATATTATACTAATTATAGTTATAGTAGATTTAGATTTAGTAATTACTAGATTTATGCTTTAGCTGGTATTGTTTTGTTAGGAATTATCACATTTTATTAATTTTAACTAATAAATATAAATTAGATCTAAAATCTAGACTAGATCTATCAACTACGACGACTACAGTCTACAAGTACAACTAGTACAGTGAGTTGTAGACAGACTACAGTTGATTAGTTACAATAACTTGAGTAACTAAGTAACAGTACACTACTACTAACTTACTAGTCTAGAGTCTAATATAGATAATTAAATATAATATATAGCAGTATTATCTACTAAAGATCTAGAATCTAAGAGGTATTGTGTTATTCAATGTTGAATGTTAAAGAATAAAGTTTAAGTTTAATAATAATTTAATACACTAAATATGTTGATTGATTGTTGTTTGAAAGTTAGATTAGATCTGTAAATAGTGTAAAGATCTAAATATTTTTAAATAATTATAATATAAATATACTCATACAGTATAGTATATACTACAGTATTTCAGTAAATGAGTAATACTAGATTTAAGATTAGATCTAATAACTAGATTGCTGTTTGCCTCCAATATGACCATACGATCCTTATTGTTATCCACCAGTAGCAAAGAATCGTATCCGAGGTGAACAGCTTAATAATATTTTTATTTAGATCTACTAGTACTTTTACCATATTTACAAGTCACTAGTCTATGACTCTAGACTACATATATATTACAATATAAGAGTATACTCAAGTATAGATTCTAGATATAGAATATTATTATTATATAGATTTAGATCTATACCATAGTAATGCAAGGCTTGTCTTTTAGTTTGAAGATTAAGTAAGGTGCAGTATTTCATATGGGTACACAGTCTGTGATCACATATTTTGCCATTGTCTCCCTTTGGTCGGTTTAGGTTTTCTTTCTGCCTTCTCCGTCTTAGAGAAGTTTAGAGCCCGCATATTTTAATAAAAGTTGGCTTCAAATCATTTCAAAAAGCTGAACCATCAAGTTTAATGATGATATTGATGTTTGGAAGTCGCTTGCTTTCAGATGCTCTATGTCAGTTAAAGCAAGCTGTTGCCAAAGATGGTCTTTTGGAGAGGGTGGGGGTACCTCTTTTGCACTAACAACCTTTCAGCCTTACAGTTATCACCCATACCGGATATGAGCCAGGTTTTTGTGCCCTGCCCAGCATAGCTGTTGAACTATAAGTAGTTCCTCTTTGCTGCCCATACCAGCATTTGCAATAACATCATTATTTATAGCTCTGTCTTCCTTTGTATGCCCAAGATGGAGTTCAGTCCATAAATATGAAACTATGCATGAATATCAAGAAAAAAAAATTGAAATCCATCAAAGAGAGATTGATTGATGCCCCATTATAAGCATAGTTTCTATTTCTTGTGTGTTTGATATCAGCCAAGTCCATGATGAGTGAGATGTGTCATCCAGTCCCTTTTCTATGTTTAATCACTGTAATATGCCTATTCTTCATTTTACAAGATTTGACTGCAGTCAAGACCCTTCTGGGTTTTGGACACATATATTTGTAAAGTTTCATTCCTTTTATAGTAAACGTATTGTCTGAGCTACTGACAAATTAAAACCAAAGGAAACACATTTTTATTATATGTCCCACTGCTTTCAAATGAGAACTGACATTTCAGTTTCATTTTCATTCCCATCACAATACAATGTCGACACAACTGATACCAATGGCATCAGGTTACCTGAGAGCTAGTTGTTGTTTCCTTACTAACCTATCTGTGTCCTCATAGTGGAAGAAGCTGGTAAGGACAGATATTTTGGGGGAGTGGAATATAATTTGGGTAATTTATAATACAGTCATATCCAGATAACCAGACCACATCAGGGCACAATAATATTTGTCCTAATTACCAGATGATTGAATTAACTGGACTTGACTGTATACTAGGGTTTGTTTCCGTACTGTAGGATTAGTTTTGAATAGTAAGCTGAGATTTATCTTATTGTCCTTTTCAGTAACAGTACTTTAGTATATGGCTAGTATGTAACACACAAATATTTTTAATGTAAAACTTCTTTTCAATTTAAATATTTAATTTTTTTTTTTTACAGGATTATTTAAACTGATTGAGAAGAAATAAGAACCAAAATGTCAGTTCACGGCATTGATAGAATTCCTGATTCTTTAGGATTCTTAGTTTTGACTGAAGATGGAGCTGTTATCAGTGTAAGTATATTTTGTTAGATCTTGAGAACACTTATTTAAAGCAGGTATCCCGTTAGGCTTAGCATCATAAACATTTTAGATAGAAGTTATTGATTGAACTACATTGCTTGACCTTCATCAAAAACTACTATATTTATATTTATTATGGCTGCCTGGTTGTCTAGTGTGTGCTTTGTACTCATGTCATGATTATCCCAAATTCAAACCTTGCCTACCTGCAGGATTTTAGGCTAGGATGAAATAAAAAATGAAAGATAAGGTCAATATTTGCAAACATGGCTTTCTAAGTAATTTCTCCACAGCACGTTTATTTGAAATATTTCAAAACTTGACACTATGTAAAAATTGAGGTTCGTATTATCAGCCATTACAATGAAGCTTGGCTCTCTAGGACTGTTTAGCTCCAAAACTCTTGTGCTGTAAAACAAATGACTATGGCATTCATAACTTAAATTCTTGTATTTATAAGTTATTGTAAGAAAATGAAGGATAGAAAAGAGAGTTATGTGTTTGTATGAAATTAGTGAAAATACCTTTACAGAAGACTCTATATCCTAAATTAAAAACTCAATACATCAGACTTTTTTATTTTTTATTTGAGTGAAAAATACATTTGCTGACTCTTATACTGATACTGATTATTGGATATTATTTATAATTATCTTTTGTGAAAAGAACCTAGATTGACGACTGCCAGAAAACAGTTATGTCTGTGCTGATTTAGCAAAAGTATGTAGGTCGCAGCTGGGGCTGCATAGTCATTTGAAATACTGCATTCCTCATTAATCTTCTGACTTGAAGACAAACCTTATTAAGATACAAAGGTTTTAGAGAGAATGTGAAGAAAATATGGTGAAACATAAGCTCTGAGAACACTCAAAACACAGGCATTAGTTCTGCTATTATAATATTACATGTCATATTTAGTCATCATTTGTTACAACACTACAACTTCAAACTCCATTTATATTTCATTAGTTTGTATGGTCTGCAACATTTTATAAACGACATAACTGGGATTTCAAATGCAAACATGTTTTTATAATTATTGTTTTTATTGCTAGTCTGGTGGTCAGCTAGAAAATGATGAGACTACAGCCAATAAAATCACCAAGTTGGTTTATACGGCTTACAAAATCCAAGTGACAGGAGATAAAAAGGATGCTTTACGTAGACTATCGGGTAAAATTTATCTTTGAAAATCTTTATTTCTGTGGCAGGAGAAGAAGACTTAACATGAAGCTTGAAACTTAAGAAACTGATTAGAACTAATACAAAATTATCCCATCTATTTATAGTTTTTCTTGACTCGTAGAATGGAAAATAGTTTAAATTTATGGTGCCAGAAGTAAATCAGCTATCGTACATTAGTTACTCTTCTTTGTAAAAACTGAAAGCTACTTGTAGCTTATTTGTAAAAAAAAACACTTCCTGTTTAAAGGGGAACTCTGATGGTTTTTCGAATTTGAGATTGAAATTCTGCATAAAGGTTATAATAAAATGTTTAGAAACATTTATTTTTAAAAAATAAGACATCAAATTCTTCATATCTCTGAAAAAAATATTTTTTTTTTGTTTTTGGGGTTTACCTACATCGCTCCCTTTAATAATACTGAAAGTTGGCCACTCATGTATAGCAGTCCCTAACCCACATCATTGGTTCATTTATATCAATTATATACTAGCTGTGCCTGCTGAGAGGGGTGAATACATCTATCTTTTTGATACCATTGGACTAAGTCAGTTTTGTCGTTTATTTCAGTAAAAGGAAATGGACATGAAAATACAATATGTTGTTAGCCTAATTTTTAAAAAGTTGAATTGGGCAAAAAGAAAGAAACTATTCTTTTAATGAAAAAGATGGAAGTCTAATTTTTCTGCAGTTTTGTTAATAGAAATAGGTTTAATAGAAAGAAAGCCTTAAGAATTTTCACAATTTGACATTTGCTGAGATTTCTTGACAATGAATCAGTGGTATTTTGAAAATACATTACAGATTTAGAAAGCATTATTTATACCATCTAATTAAAAATGTTTTGTCTTTCAGTAATTTTAGGTGATGTTATTTACATGGCAACAGTTTCACAGCACAAAATATATGTTTCTAAAAGACATTATAATCCACAAGAGCCTGTACAAGCTTGAGGAATTACATCCATGTTTGTATGCATTTAACTACTCACAGCAAGAATGAAGCTACAGTATGTACAAGAAGTCAAAAGTGTTTCAAGAGATAATCTTTAATATGAATTTTATTTATATTTTTTATTGGACATCTGTGTGATTGTATTTGGAAACTGCTTGATTGTTATGATTGTTACCTGATGTTTCAACAAGTTTTCTTATATGAATAGATAAAGTTTTATTCTGTTTTATCTTTTTTTTTTTTTTGTTCAAATCATTAGTCTCGTCTACAATTGTGACAATTTTTTATTGTAACTAGCTATTTTTATCTTTGACCTTGTAAATTCTTTAGGTAGTCATAAAAAGGCATTAAGATATGGGGGGAGGTGTGGCATTCTTTAGAAGTATAAGGCTAAATGTATCATTGGATAGTTTCTGAACTAATGAAATATTGAGGATATACTTTATTTAAATTTGTGCATTTGTAAGTCCTTCCTCCACATCTAATGAATCCTTGTCCCTCGCATCACTGATAATACGTCTTAAAGCTGCTCTTGTAAAAGTGAATAGAGAAATAGAAACATTGCAAAAATGACATTTGTCACATCTTCAATGCAATATTCCTAATTGGTTGAGCAGTGCTTGTTTGTTTTTATACCATAATTGATTTTATATATTGTTAGTTCTAAGATTACAACAAACTTGATCTAATGTTCATCATATTGTTGTCATTTAGACATTTTTGATGGTGGCACACTGATTGGCAAAGTCATCAGAGGTTGTGGGGGTGGGGGAGTAATATTTGCATTTCATTGAATTAAATCCAGAATATTTTCCTATAATTGCTCAGGTTGGTAAATATATTTTGGTAATTTTTAGTTATACCTGGTGTTTCAATGTCCAATATCCAATTGTATGCCTGGGATACTGGTATTAGTGAACAATCAAAGGAGCTCTTTTTTTTTTTTTTTTTTTAAAACAGAATAGTCTAGTTCTCAAGTTGAAATCTTTGAAGTAGTAACAGACAATATAATTTAAATTTAATAATAAATTAACAGTATTAGAATTACTAATGTACTGATTATACCCCCAGAAATAAACTTGTTTTGAAACTGTGTGAAAGTTCTGGTTGCAAAAACTTTTTTTTTTCTTATTGTCTCCCCTACATAATGTACCCTTCTGTGTTGAAATCGTTTTTCAAAGCTTCCAGAGACCAATGTGTAACAAAAACATTTTGTTTGTATATTTCTTTGGCTTTTAACTCCTACACCTTACATATCTATGGATATTTAAAATTTAGCTAAAAAAGAAATTGGATTTAATTTAACATTTGTTGAGTTGAACTACAATTGTTTATGTATATTCAACAATGAACCATTCTACATTATCAAATAGATTCTTCTGAGGAAATACTGCAATGATTTAAGTTCAAGAAAAGACAATAATGTTAACATATTCTGTGGGCCAATATCAATTTGAAAACATATATAAGTACATAATATTTATGTATAAGCTTACACAGAATTTATCGATTTAAGCAAATGAATACTCTGTAGGATTTAATTACTGTAGTATGGCTAGAGAGATTGAATCTGTTGAAGATACAATTTTTAGAGAGGCAAAGTAACATTGATAAGCTTGCTGCTTTGCTATCTGTGAAAAGAAAAACGAATGAATACTCCAAAAAAAAAAGAATACCATGAGTTCATAGGTATCCTAAGGAAATATCAACCTAAGCTTTATAGTTAGTATATTGTGTTTAATGTCTCATTGACATCCGTAATACAAAGGGAGAAACTCGACAGGTAAAAACGAATTATAATGGATTTCATTTTCAAATTTCTGATTTTTAGCGGCCCCCAAAAAGGGGAAAAGACGCTATTAGTTTTGTGTGGTCTGTCCGTCCGTCCCGTTTAGATCTTAAACTAGAAAAGATATTGAAAATCCGACATCATGATATTTTAGACCATTCAAAGTTCTGATGCAACGGCTCCTTTTTTCTTTTCTGAAAGCGAAAAATGTAATTTTTTAAATCACTTATGCAAGAAGTTTTTTCATAAAAATACACCATATTTACAACTATTCACTATTAATAGTAACAAACACTTTCGTCCGTTTAGTAAGGGAAGACATTGTACACCCTATTTTAGCACATTAATGCAAACGATTTTAGATTTTTTTGTCCAAATTTTTTTCTTATTAATTGTATTGCTAAGTTAAGTAAGTTCTGTCATACAAACTACTACATTTAAAAAGAAAAATTACTTTTTTTTAAAGAGAAAAAAAATATGTTGAGTATGCATATAAGTGGAACATAAGTTAATACAACAATTAATAAGTAATTTTTCATATCGCTCAACGGGAAAGAACAATATACACCATATATCACTTAAAAGAGAAAAAAAATATGTTGAGTATGCATATAAGTGGAACATAAGTTAATACAACAATTAATAAGTAATTTTTCATATCGCTCAACGGGAAAGAACAATATACACCATATATCACTTAAAAGAAAAAAAAAATTACGAATTTTTTTTTCTTGAGGCTTTGAATAAGAGATTGACCCTTTACAAAACAAAAACAGTACAAGACTAAGGCCATGTTCATATCAAGCATCACATTCACTTTCACCTATCACTTGGTCTGCTGAACCGTTGGGGCTCCACACAAGATCTGTCAACCTTTATTCTTCACTGTATTTTGCCTTTGATAGAACTCCATTCTGATATACTTTCTGAAAATATTGAAACCTGCCTTTTTAGTTACCTGAGTGGACCACTTCGGGGGCCGATTTTGAGTGTGTGCTTCCACACAAACTGTCTTTGTAACCTTGTTTAATTAAAGTTCCTACACAGCAATGCTTCTTGCATCTTTTTCCCGGAAAGGATCAGCAGCCCAACATAAACTGACGTTTTTGCAGGATAGTTTCAATGAAAGATTTTAAATAAGTCTCTTCAGAGATCCACTGTTGGCACCACAAGTTGTTATCCCCAAAATCCATATTAAGTCATCTAAACTCTTAACATTCATGGGTTCCAGAGTGAACCAGCACAACCTTGATCTAAAATTGTACTGAGTGTTATCAGTCAATCTATAACAATTATGATCAAGGCAGTCGATATTTAAGTTGAGAAACAAGTGCTCACTCTCAAAGTCAGTAATGAGACAGTTGTAGTACAGTTACTGTTAAGTTGGTCTGTAATTAAGTACTGATAGAATATATTTCTATGAAGTTTTAACATGTCAGAGCTTGTTATTTAACTCGAATGGACTACATCAGGGGGTGGACAAATTACGCCCCGCGGCCAGAAGCGACCCGCCGAAGCGTTTTATGCGGACGCTTTAACAAAATCCGGTGTGCCCACACATTACACATAAAAAAATTCAAATATATTAAAAATAAATAATTGTAAATTTCTATAGGAATTATTAAAACTTTAGATTCTTATCATTTATACTAAAGGGGCTAAAGAAACATTGTCTCTTAACGTCATTCTAAAAAGTTCAAAGTAAACGAAGATTATTTTAAATGGCAATATTTCGAACAGTTCACTCAAATACACAAGGCCAGGCCAGTAATTATTCAATGCTATGAAGAACTGTGCTGAGAGTGTTGGGTTAGCTTGTACAAGATGGCAAGGGTAACAACTGACCGTGCTTTGACTGAAAAAAACAGGCTTTTTAAAAAAAAAAATAAAGTGCAACGTCTCAACCATAAACTCTGTACGGGAAAGTTTACGTAAATCTGCATTGAAAACCGTTCGAGATGATTATTCATAATTTCAAATAATTATTTAAAGTCATAGGTCGTCCTTAAGCAAATGCAATCTATGTAGCTGCTTAGGGTTTATGATTGCTGAGAACTCGTACGGGATGTATATTTTAATTTCTTAGAGAAGAAATAGTGAAATTTGTCCTCACTGTTATTAACTAGGCTTTTAATAAGCTCCATAAGTTTAGTTTTTTTCGCTGTTAATTTATATTTTTCTATTTTATAAGGGGCTACCAAATTCACTTCGCCTAGGGCCCCCATTTATCTAAGGCCTGTCCTAACTGGCAGTTCATTTATCTAAGGTTGGCCCTGACTGGCAGTTCCGAAAAGTACTTGAAGATTTGGAAACAAAACATTCGAATGTTCGGTATAACAGTAGTATTCGCTGACCTAGCATTAGAAGAATATGCAATCTCAAGGAAAAAATTATATTCCTTGACTGTGGCTTTGTTACTAATATTTCTAATGAAGATTTGAAGACAAACTTCATGTTTAACATCGGAAGCATTGCAATATGTTTTTTTGCACATGAAATGTATGTGCATCTTAGATTTTTACAAAGCTATTTCATTTCTTGAGGCCAGCAAGTGAAATTAGGGGTCATCATTTTCCTTAGCTGAAGGTGAAACTATTTCTAGTGATATGGTTGCGAAGTACAAGACTTACTTGGATTCCCTGATTGTGGAATTAGAAAGCAAATTTTAAGACGTCAGCAACTTGGAACCATTTTTCAATACAATCAGCTCACCATTTAATGCAGAAGCTGACTTATCTCCAAATGACATACCTCCTAGCAAATCATGACAACAAAGAAAAGGTTCCAGTCAGTTCTTTCGCGGGAGCTCATGGGTGCCAGAAGCTGTATATCTGCACTTTAAAAGGACTTTGCTGCTAAACTTTCATATTATTTGGAACCACATCCATCTGTCAACATACCTTGTATTTGTTTGAAAATTATCAAGTGTTAGAACAGGTCGATGCTGATTGACTGTAATTGACAGCAGTCACAACAAAAACAACTAGTATAGTTCCCCGGTTGCGGAATATTATGCACGAGAGTAAACAGTTATACACTTTTATACACAATTACACCCCCAACAGATGATTTTGACGATAAAACTTCTCTTTTCGATATAAAATCTAAAGCAAACTAATTCCAAGAGCGCATTCAAGAGAGGTTACACATTTCTACCAGTGGCGGGGCTCCATTAATAAAGTGCAGTGAATAGTCATCTGCCGAAATTGAAAAACACTAAATGTGGCTCAACAAAGATGGCTAAGACAGATTTTAGGAGTCAGTTATAGAGATCAGGTCTAAATCAAGGAAATCCGAACTGGGAGTCGACCCCTTAGTAAGATTGTGACAGAGCGTCGCATGAGGTTTGCGGGACATGTTCTCCGATAAAATGAATTACGCATGATAAGAGTTGCGATGACATCCTAGTACAACTTGGCGCCACACATTACCAGTGACAGATTTTTGTGGAGACAAAAGACGGCAAATGCGCCGAACGGCGCAGGAGGGTTTTAGGTCAGCAAGAATAGCACATTAGGTTTTTGAAATAAGATGCACTGTAGATACCTCAGAATATGCATTTTGTTGGCATTCAATACCAGAAATAGTGCTTGGCGGCGGGGCGGTGCTGGGGAGCTACTAGCGCTCCCTCAGACCCCCTTGCTGGCGATGGCGGGGAGACAACAATTTTTCCACTAACTACAGGAAGAAAGAAAGAATGAAGGGTCAGAATGTAATAAAGATTATTAACACACACACACATACATACATACAAATATTTTTTTCTCGGGAGGGGGGGGGGAGAAATACCCCCCCTCACCGAAAAAAATCCTGGCTACGCCCATGCTATATATATATATAATTTATGCAGCCCCCAGTCCCCAAATTTGTTTAATGCCCTCGGCAGAAAAAGGTTGCCCAGCCCTGGACTACATGGAATTATTCTAGATCAAATTAGGCAATACGGTGTCTATGAATATGGATCTATTTTTATAACGAATAATTGCTCAGTCATTTACAGTATGTCTGAATACTTGGTACACATAGTATGGTCATACATCCTGCTGTATATAATCATAAACATGAACCCAAATGTCACAAATATCAATACTCACAGTGACATAAATGATGTCAGAAGTTTAATTGAAATTGAGATAGTGATATGCTCTGTGTCGAAGCGGGATGCTGATTCTAATCTGATTTTTTTTTCAGAGAAAAATGATGTCATAAGTGGGTGACTAGAGTTAATGACTAGATATCCTTTCTTGAAAATTTTGAGCGAATACGACTATCGGCTTCTACGCTTTCTTGTTTGAGATACAGCCAGTTATCCAGAAGTTGGTTCTGAAATCAACTAGTTAATATTTAAATATTCTTGAGTACGACATTAAGACGCGATTCATTTCTATATGGGGGGTAGAGGGAACCCAACGCCGAAAAAAATCTTAGCTACGCCCATGGAACAAGGGATTAGTTTCGTGGTTTTTTCATTGGGGGAGGGGGGGGGTGACAGTTTTTAGACTGAGAAAAGTATTTTG